AATAACTTTGATCAGAAATGATAAAGAGGAAATAACAACAGATACCACAGAAATATCAAAGATCTTTAACAATTACTACAAAATGCTCTATTCCCAGAAATATGAAAATGTAGAGGAAATGGACCAAATACCTGGAATCACACCACTTTCCTAAACTCAACCAGAAAGAATTAGAAAGTTTGAACAGACTTATGTTACACACTTAAATAGCATCAACTATACAAAACCTCCCAAAGAAGAAAAACCCTGGATGAGATGGTTTCACATAATACTACTAGAACTTAAAAAGAGAAACTAGTTTCTAAATATGCAATCTAGTTGGTAGATTTCATATTTATTCTAAAAGACAAAGAAGGGAGGAATCCTCCCCAACACATTCTATGAAGCAAATATCACCTTCATCTCCAAATCAGGAAGAGACCTAACTAAAAAGAGAAATAATAGACCGATATCATTAATGAATATTGATGCAAAAACTTCAATATGACTTTAGCAAGCAGAATGCAGCAACACATTAAAAGAGTTATACACAAAAATTTTAAAAATAAAATAAAAAAAGATAAAAGAGTTATACACCATGATTAAGTAGGATTTACTCCAGGGATGCAAAATTGGTTTAACATATGTAAATCCATAAATATAATTCACCACATAAATTAGATCAAAAAGGACTATATCAAATGATGCACAAAAGGCTTTTAATAACATCTAACAATTTCATGATAAGAACACTGAAGAAAATAGGCTTAGGTGGGACATTTCTTAAACTGATATAGGCTATCTCCAACAAACCCACAACCAATATCATATGGAATGGAGCATAATTAAAAACATTTCCATTCAGATCTGGAAATAGACAAGAATGCCTACAGTTACCACTGATATTCAATATAGTGCTGGAAGTCCCAATCATTGCAATCAGGTAAAAGAAGGAGATCAAGTGTATTCACGTGAGGACAGAGGAGAACCTCTCACTCTTTGTGGATGGGATGATCTTACACCTGGAAAACCCCCAGAGACTCAACTACAAAGCTCTTAGAAGTGATCAAGAAATATAGCATTATTTCAAGATACAAAATCAATACTCACAAATCAGTAGCTTTTATATATAACAATAACAGTCAAGCTGAGAATAAAATCACTCTTTAACTTTCACAGTAGCTCCAAAAAAGAAATACCTGGGAATTCATCTAACAAAGGATGGGAAAGATCTCTATTAAAAAACCTTGAAACCGGGGGCCACACCTGTGGCTCAACGGAGTAGGGCACTGGCCCCATATGCCAGAGGTGGTGGGTTCAAACCAAGCCCCGGCCAAAAAACTGCAAAAAAAAAAAAACAAAAAACAAAAAACAAAAAAACCTTGAAACCATGAGGAGAAAAAATAGCAGAAGACATTAACAAATGGAGGAACATACCATGTTCAAGGCTGAGAAGAATTGACATTGTCAAAATATCCACTCTCCCCAAAGCAATCTACAGATTTAGTGCAATCCCCATCAATGCACCATTGTCATACTTTGAAAGAACTTGGAAAAATAGTACTTTATTTCATTTGGAACCAGAAAAAAATCCTGAATAGCCAATAACATTCTTAGAAATAAAAACAAGGTGGTGCCTATAGCTCAAGTGGCTAAGGCACCAGCCACATACGCCAGAGCTGACAGGTTTGAATCTGGCCCAGGCCTGCCAAACAATGACAACTACAACCAAAAAATAGCTGGGCATTGTGGCAGGCACCTGTAGTCCCAGCTACTTGGGAGGCTGAGGCAAGAGAATGGCTTAAACCCAGGAGTTTGAGGTTGCTGTGAGCTGTGACACCACAGCACTCTACCCAAGGTGATAGCTTGAGGCTCTGTCTCAAAATAAATAAATAAATAATAAATAAATAAATAAAAACAAATCTGTAGGGACCACATTACCAGACTTCAGGTTATATTGCAGTCTATAGTGATCAAAACAGCATGGATCTGGCACATAAATGGCAACATAAATTTACGGAATAGAACAGATAACCTGGAGATCAACCCACCCACATATTTCCATTTTATCTTTGATAAGGCTAACAAAAGCATGCACTGGGGAAAAGAATGCCTATTTAATAAGTGGTGCTGCAAGAACTGGTTAGTCACATGTACAAAACTGAAACTGGACCCACATCTTTTACCATTGACAAAAAATTGATTCTCAATCAATAAAAGATTTAAATTAGAAATAAAACAATAAAAATTCTAGAAGAGAGTGTGGGGGGAAATGCTTGAAAATATTGGCCTGGGAAAATATTTTATGAGGAAGAACCCTCTGGCAATTATAGCAACACCAAAAATAGATAACTGGAATTTGATCAACCTAAAAAGTTTCTGCACTGCTAAGGATACCACAACTAAAACAGCCTTCAAATGGGAGATAATTTTTGCATGTTACAAATCTGACAAAGCCTTAATAACTAGAATCCATAGAGAACTCAAATTAAACAATAAGAGAAAAGCAAACAACCCCATTTCTACGTGGGGAAGATTTTGAATAGAAACTTTGCTGAAGATGATGGATGCATGGCTTACATGAAAAAATGCTCACTGTCTTTAATCATCAGAGAAATTCAAATCAAAACCACCTTGACATACCACCTAACTCTGGTAAGATTATGCTGTCTTAAAGTCTCAAATCTCCAGATGCTGGCATGGATGTGAAGATAAGGGAATACTTCTACACAGCTGGCAGAATCAGAAACTAATACAACCCTTGTGAAAAGACATATGGAGAATTCTGAAAGAACTAAAAATTGATGTGACATTCCATCTTATCCCACAATCCCATTACTAGGTATCTACCCAGAACAAAAATCATTTTACCACAAAGACATTGGCACCAGAATATTTATTGTAGCTTAATTCATAATTACCAAGTCGTGGAAGCAACCTAAATGCCCCTCAACCCATGACTGGATTAACAAAGTGTTGTCCATATTTACCATGGAATACTATTCATCCATAAAAAGATGGTGACTTTGTATCTTTTGTATTAACCTGGAAGAAGCTGAAACACATTCTTCTCAGTAAAGTATCACAATAATGGAAAAGTAAATATTCAATGGACTCAATGCTAATACGTAGCCAGTAAACAATCTAATTCATGCCCACATAGGAGGAAAACTCATTTTAATTCAAGTTTGGGGAGGGAGTATAAGGGAAGAGGGGAGAGCAAAGAGGGGGGAGTTTGGGGTGCTCACACTTAATGAGCACAATGTAGGGGCACATGGCACAACTTTTGGGTGCAAGACACAACAACAAATGGGACTCTACCTAACAAATTCTAATTTTGTGACCTGGTTTTACCCTCATATTAACTAAAATTAAAAAAAAATTACAGATCCTCATCCCTTATGAATATACACATGGAAATCCTCAAAATTAGTAGCATTATTGAAACATTAGAAACATTATTGAATATTTTTACTCAAGAGGAGTTATCTCACAAATACAAATGTAGCTTAATATCCAAAAATAAGTCAATGTAATACAGCATAATGATATAATAAAATACAAAAAAAAAAGGATTATTTTGAAAAACAGAGAACAACATTTAACAAATCCATACCCATTCATGATAAATCCTAAATAGAGTAGGAATAAAAGGGAACATCCTAGGCCTACTAAATGCATCTTTGAAAAATCTATATAGTTGATATCATATGTAATGGTGCAAATCTCAGTTTACGAATCTTAGTTTGGAAACAAAGGAAGAATGTCTCTTTCCCCCACTTCTTTTCAACATTATACTGGAGGTTTCAGAGGTGTTCATACCACATTAAGGAATTAAAGTTACTTTTATTTAAAACAAACAAAAAAAAAGCCTTTTGGAAAAACTGGCCAGATACCCATCAATAATGAACGTTTCCTAACATGTGGTAGGTAACAAAGGTCATTTTCTGACAGGTCTGGGAATCAAAATGTGCTTCAAGACAAGAAGAATTTACCCAATGCATACAGGTATCTAATGGCACAGATGAAACCTGGGCTCATGAAAAACTTTCAAGTCTAACCTAAGATTTCCAGCAAAGCCAATTTTAAAAGAAAAAAAAAAAACCTAAATGGCTAATAATTATTCTTACTGCACTTTATGCAAATAATTAGGCCCAGTATACTGAAGATATAGTTTATTTTAGCAACTAAGTTAATTCTGTTATAATTTGTCTTTAGTAAAAAGAGAAATTAAAGAGAGAAAAAAATGGTTCAAGGAGAAAAGAGGCTGTGGCCCACCTGTCTGTAATGTCAGCTCACAAAATGAAACATAACTGTTTTAATAAACTAATCTGTTAAATAAAACTGGCCAAAGAGTATAGAATTATATACAGTAATCATATTTCCTCTGAAAACTTGAAACTCAACAAGGATTTCCTACTAACCACGCTAGAAAAATTGTACAGTATTAAACATTATCTGCTGTGTTTATATAAATACCTCAAGAAAAATTAGAACCTGAATGAGAATTTTTCAGTAAATAATATAACTGTAACATGGCCTCATAAGTGGTCCCACACCCAACCAGTATTCAAGAATATTCTCTTAAATTATTTAGAACTTTGAATCAGTTCTGTAGGAACTTTTAAAACTATGTATTATCTTAAAAACTGTAATAAGTTTATAAATAAGAATACTAATGTTCTCATGTAAACCTTAGCCTCAAAATCCAAAACTTGTAAATGTTTGTAAGTAACTGCTAACTAGTTTCATTCTTTTACACTAACCCCAATCTTAGCTTCATCTCTGTCAGAAATAATCATGTTCTATTTAATAGAGGGAAAATGAAAGAAACTCTTAACTAAATTCCTGACTAGAGAGAACTTCACTACCCCATAAACAGCAAAAGTGACTTTTAAAACAGTCAACATGCCCTGGTTCAGCCACATACTGGAAGCTGGCTGGTCTATGCATGGCTGAAACCTGAGGAAACTCCTGGCAAAACTTGTCTTAAAACTTTAAACTTTAAGAAAATAAAAGAAGTGCTAGCTTCAGCAGCACATATACTAAAATTGGAATGATACAGAGATTAGCATGGTCCCTGCACAAGGATGACATGAAAATTCGTGAAGTTTTTCATATTTTTTAAAAAATAAATAAATAAAAAATAAAAAAAAGAAAATAAGAGAAATAGATGTAATCTATGTACGCACACCACTAACAAGTAACCCATGTTCAAGTTAAAACTAATGATTTAATTTATGATCCTAGACCAGTGGGGACATGTTAGGCCTAGTGGGTCTACGCTAAAGCAGAAAAGTGTCAGGCCTACGCTATAATGGAAAAATACCAGTTAACTCCTGGCAAATTTCCAGACTGCAAGCTTTCAAAAAATAAATGAAATAGGTCTAGTTCACCCCCAAGATAAATGAGAAAGTACTAATTGATTTCTTGCTTCTAGTTCATTCCCAGTTTCTTGCTTGACTAACTCCCTGGGAAACAAACTGGGAGGCACTGACTTTTCAGGATTGACCTTTAAACAATACCAGGTGGGGAAAATACTGAGACTAAGATGTATGGGGGGAAAGCACTGAAACTAAAATGTATAAGGGGAAAATACTAAAACAAAGATATATAGCATATGGCTAACTAACCATAAAATTCTGCTTCTGTACAATGCTTTCTTGCTACCGTAGCCCCTACCCGGATGCACCTAGACAGCCTGTGTGCCAATCAGGATGCAACTAAGCCTTAAAAACCCGACCCCTTAAGCACTTGGGGCTTCTCTCAGAAACCCCATGTCAGGACACGGAGGCAGTCACTGGCTGGCTCTTCAATAAAAGGACTCTGCTATAAATTTGGCTTATTTGGCAGTGTTGTCTTTGCGGAACTCCTGGGCACAACAGAAGATCTTAATGTGGCTCGGCGCCTGTGGCTCAAGTGACTAAGGTGCCAGCCACATACACCTAAGGTGGAGGGTTCAAATCCAGCTCAGCCTGCCAAAACAACAATGACGGCTGCAACCAAAAAATAGCTGGGCATTATGGTGGGCACCATAGATAGTAGATAATTTCAGAACCGTAGCATGACTCAATCCAAACAAAGCATCTCCTAGACACATTGTAATCAATGTTGCCAAAGCTAATATGAATGAAAAAGATCTGCAAGCAGCCAGGTGCAAGAAACTCTTACAAAGGGAAAAAATATCAGGATGACCACAGATCTTTCAACAGAAACTTTTCAAGCCAGAAGAGTATGGTCATTGACCTTTAATCTCTCTCTCTTTTTTTTTTTTTTTCTTTTCAGTTTTTGGCTCGGGTTTGAACCCACCACCTCTGGTATATGGGGCTGGCACCCTACTCCTTTGAGCCACAGGTGCCACCCAACCTTTAATCTTCTTAAACAAAACAACTTGCAGCCCAGGATCCTATTTCCTGCTAAACTGAGTTTTATTTGTGATGGAGAAATCAAATATTTTACTGCATGGAAATGTTGAGGAAATTTACCAAAACTAGACCAGCTGTATAGGACATGTTCACACCCATTCTTCATAATGACCAACACAATGGCCCATCACCCAGAAATTAAAGAACAAAGCAAACAGTTAAATACAAACACACATATACACAGACAGAGTCTGAGAATTAAGTTTTTTAACTCATCCTAGAAAAAGTTCTCCATACCTTACTGCTGCTTTAAAGATGTTGCAATGTCATTTGCAGTCTCCCTATGAATCACTTCAATAGTTATTAAATATATCATTTCCATGCCTTTTGGATGCACATTTCTGCATTTATCTAATATTGCAGTACTTCCTAATGATTATTAATGCTATTAATAATGATTATTATTGAATTTATTACCGAACATATCGTAACATGATAATGATCAATAAATATTCTGCAGTGTTTTATCCCTTATTTGCCAGGGACACACTGGCAAGACTGAAACAAAGTTCTTATTTTGACAGCATGGTTATAGGAAGACTACTGTTTTGTTGTTGAACCCTGAGATTATATAATTCCCCAGGCAAAGTTCACCTAGGTCATTATATTAATTGAAATGTTTGGAACCCAGCTGTTCTTCATTTATTGTTCTAATAAGTCAGTTTTCCCTTTGGTAGCTCCCCTTTCTATCAATCTCAATGCTGCTTCCAAAGATAACATGACTACTATCATCCTGTAGGGAGATTAGCTGATGACATCCTTGGCCTATAACTACTTCTTAGGACCTCATCTCACACATGGAAACTCACTCTTAAAAACTCACCTCAGTTAGTGTCTATTTCTAGCTTCATTTACAGTGAACACTCAAAAGTGCAGGTGAGTGGTGAATTGAGATAGAATCTTTTCTGGTACTAGTTAGAGTTAACATCCGTAATTTTATTCTTATATCTAATGAGTCAATGTTTCTGGATGAAATATAATTTAAATTATTCTTAGGAAGTCATAAATTGTAGATTTATGGAAGGATATTGGGATTTGGGGGATGTTCTACTTGAATTTGTGCTTGGACTTTTCTTATGTTATTAAATTAGCTGAACTATAACTTTTGGCATTTATATGAAAGTCAATATTTAATCACATAAATATAAATTAACAAAATAACTTAGTTATACTTCTTAATTTTTTAAAAATATGGTTTTCTTATATTTGTACTATTTTACAAGTGTTTAAATTTAGGTTGTCACAAAACATAAGATGTGTATAACATTTTATAATAATGTAACTTAAGCAGCTAACCAGAAGGACAACTTTGTTTCATATTTTAATGGTAATTAGTAATAGAGAATTTATTTTACCTTGAAACTGTCTAATATATTATGTTCTGGCATTTATTAAATTTTTCCAGAGTTAATTGCTACCTTAGATGAATGATAGCAGCTTATATTCAGCATGATTTGATTTAATCATTCAAAATGAACTGTATTTTGGTATGTTATAATTTCTCAGTAAACTGAAACTTTAAAATGCTCTACATATTAGTTCAAGTGAGGTTATTTTGTGATGAAAAAATAATGTTATGTATATTTGAGGGCATAGCATTTCCTTATTAAATTATATCTTCTCAATTTAGTATTTATGTTTATTCCTCTGAAAGTTATAAATTATAATTTTTTCAATGAAACATACAGCCCAAACAGTGACAAATAAATTTCAATTGTTAAAATTCACAAGTAAGCATTGTTTCTACTGAGCATGAATACTGTCTTGAAGTGTCTATATTTCTTTTTTTTTTTTTTTTTTCAGTTTTTGGCCAGGGCTGGGTTCAAACCCACCACTTCTGGCATATGGGCCAGCACCCTACTCCTTTGAGCCACAGGTGCTGCCCTATATTTCTTTAAAATAGAAGAGATGGAAGTTAGAATTAGATTAGGTAGAAAATAGAAAGGAACAAAATGATGCTGACAGAGAATTACGGCCCACGAAGATATTAAATTATCAAGAAATTGTGAGTTGCTATGTTCCTGAACATTATAGAATTGTGTTTGTCCTAAATAGGTCATGTTAACAGCCCCTGCATTCCAGGCATAGGAAGGAGAATGTCTGAGAAGATGGGCTTTGAAGGTCCTGAATAGGAAACCTGAGGCACACAGGACAAACTGATCAATTGATACAGTTGGTATGATTGTGATTTTATCATTATTGTGATGCACAGATTTGTGATGTCGGGAGGTAGGTTTTTTCTCTCTAAAAAAAAATTGTATGTTTTGCTCTTAGCTTTTGGGTTATGTTGATTTTTAAAAAATTGTCAAATATGCTTTTAAGAGTTTTTCAAATTTCATAACAGGATTTGTGGTGAAAATTCTTTTGTTTTATTATCTCCTCACTCTGCTGTGACATTTTCCCTATTTTCACTTCTTTCTCTCTCTTCTAAGGAGAGCTTAGAATTAAGTACCTTGAAATTATAACTTCCTTGTTAGCTGCCTTATGCTGCCAGCAATTGACAAAGATCAATTTCCAAAACCAGTAGATGTTCTTCAGTGACTTAATGCTATCTAATGCTTATCAAATTTTTTCTTCCAGTATTTGTACATGTTATGAAGGTCATTTCATGAAATTGTTCTAGGTAGAAAAACATTTTCTTCCTTGCAACCATTAGCTCTGTTACTCAGGTTGACATCTTTTTTCTCTGAACCAACAAACTTGCTCTGACCTTGTCACTTAAAAACTTCTTCATGGGGTGGAGTCTGTGGCTCAGTGAACAGGGCGCCAGCCCCACATACCAACAGTGGTGGGTTCAAACCCGGCCCCAGCCAAATTGCAACAAGAAAATAGCCAGGCATTGAGGCGGGTGCCTATAGTCCCAGCTACTCGGGAGCCTGAGGCAAGAGAATCACCTAAGCCCAAGAACTGGAGGTTACTGTGAGCTGTGATGCCACAGCACTCTACCAAGGGGCACAAAGTGAGGCTCTGCCTCTTAAAGAAAAAAAAAAAACTTCTTCATGACTTTATGCTGTCAATGATTACACACAGGTTTCACAATGTTGTTAGTAGACTGGTAAAATTTGTGAGCAAAATTACATCACTAATCAATATAATAATAAAGCAAACAATATTTTATTTGATAATATTAATCATGTGGGAATGTATATATGTACATATTAGGCAGAATATTAGATTGTATTAGGTTATAGAATTTATAAAATAATATGATTCTAAAACTTAGATACTACTATAAATATGAAGAAATAAATTGTATCAAATTAAATTTTCTCCAAAATAACATTTTTCATATACATAATAGAACTTTGTTACTTGTAAATGATTTCTTATTTCTCTCATACTCCTTCTCCTTGCCTTAAATATCTGATCTAAATGTAAAGTTTTATGACCACTCTTTTGTTCCTATTTTTTTAATAGTATAATTTTCCCCACTGTTACATGTAGTGATGGTCATATTTTGGGGATATAAAATACTATGAGTAGCCCAACATGAAGCACGAATAACAAGGATGAATTTGGTCTATATTATCTGTTTCTGAGAGTGCCCAGTAACTTCATTCTCTCAGCACAAGAAGTGTCTGTCACTACTAAGAGTAATTGCTGAGATGTATTTTACATTGAGATTTATCCCCTTTTAAGCCATCCATTAGGGTCAAATTCTCGTCTACAGTCTCACCAACCTATATGACTTTTATGTTTTTTCTTCTATTTTGGTTGTGTTGGTGTTAATCATGTTTGCCAAATCCCATGAGTCATTCATGGTGAGGTTTCCACAATATCCAAATAAAAATTTAGGATTAGGTTAAGTTTAACATTCAGAAAAACAATAATAAATTTTGAATAAACTTCAGTATTTATATACTTGAAGGTAATATTTATATGCAATGCTTGGGAGATAAATATTCTAAAATAGTTTCTCATTTTTTCCCTGAAGTTCATTTTTTCCCTGATGTACTCCTTTATATCTCAATTTTAATCTAGAGAACCAACGTGCTCTCTCAGTCCAAGTCAGCACCAATGCTCTCAGGAGTAACACTGGAGGAAGCTGCCATTTACTGCTCTAGCATATGTACTCTTTTTTGAGTATATGATAGTCATTTAGAGATGGAGGCCTGAATTAGTGGTGATGAGCTGGATATTCTATCAGATAAAAAGTAAAAATATTAGAAATCTTATCTGCGGGGTTATGAGTTATGTTATATGTAGTGTATCAGTTAAATGATCTGTATGTATAGTTGCCAAGTAATCACACATGTATTAGTAATTCATACTGTTTTACTGGTACCAGACTGTAAGCTAATATTATCTTGGTTCCAACATGACAGCAGAAACCAAATGGTATATATTGGTGATAACTATTACCTTTTGCTTTGGGCATTGAAGATGAATGTGTCTCTTCAGTAGGTCAAATATTTTTTAAAAGCATTTTGACCTTTTGATAAAATATACAAATTTTTCTTTATATGCTCATATGTATTAAGTAGTTTTAGAGCAATATTCTAACTCCCACATAACCTTCTGATTTTGAGCCAATAACACTGTCAAATGTCTACATTGAAAACATAAGTCTAGATAAAGAATTTGAATGAATGTGTTTGATGTATAAAAACCCCATAATAATACAATTATTAAATTATTCAATAAAATTTTATACATTGTTCTGATGTTGAAAATATCTGGATTAGACTTAGGAAAAGTTATTTTTTATTGAAGATGCAAATATTTATAAAGGCATAGGAGGCTATCACTTTATTCACTAATGTCTAGGAAAAAGACTTGTGAGTATTTTTTTGCAACCTCATACATATCAAAAAGTGAAAAAATTCAGTGATTGTCCTATTGAAAATTGAGAACTTTCGGCTCGGCGCCTGTGGCTCAAGCAGCTAAGGCGCCAGCCACATACACCTAAGGCGGCGGGTTCGTATCCCCAGCCC